GGAAAGGGCTCTAGGAAAGAACGGAGGAAAGAAGCCATTTGCTTAAAAACAGACATTACTCAGATATATGGCTGTAGTAGGTACATAGAGAATTTCCTTTGTGAGGAATTAGGAAGATCGAGTGGTTGGGAAGAAGGGCAGGAAGCCACAGTTGGCCACTTCCTACAACCATGCAACCCTTGCCTGAGGACCCTTGCCTCTCCCGCCTTCGGTCCCAGAGCTCATGTGTGTGTGTTGAAACCGGGCTCTGACTCAGTATTTAGTGGGAATGGCAAAGCTTGTGGGAAATGTAAAATTTGTTTGACTGACTGTTTAATCAACCAGTCTCTTCTCTTTCCCTCTCCCCCCACAAAAACCTACTTTTGTTTTTCAGAAACATCTTAGATATGAACAACTTTTTTTTCCTCAGACTTTCCTATTTTCCCGTTAGTGCCTTCCTTCTTCCAAGATATCTAAATATGCTCATTTATTTTCCTAAAGGATGCCAGAAGAATGAAATATTACCTAAGTTAAAATTTCCCCATTTCTATTTACCATCACTGAGTCTAAACCCCGACATTCATTGCTTTATACACCTGGATACATATATATATACACAAACTAATAGTTATATATTTTTTCTTTCCATGGTCTTAAAATGCCTGAGAATGTTAATTTAGTCAGGTTCTTCCAGAACTTTTCTGGACCTATTTTGAAATATAGCCACTGCCTTGAGACTAGTTAACCCAAGGGCCCTCGGAGCTCCGGGGTCACCCTGCCACCTCCTATACCTTTGTTACTTGAAATTGGCGTCCTTGAACTTCTAGTGGTAGCCAACCCAGTTCCCTGGGATTCTGAGGTAAGGTGTTGTGTGGAGAATGGACAGTGGCTAGCCTACACCCTTCAAAGCACATTTATAGGCCTTCCCTGTATATCAGGCACTCCGCTTACATTTTCTCACTTAATCCCTGTAACAGCCTTGTGAGTTAAGCATTGCCAGATCTGTTTACTTACAGGGAAACTGAGGCCTAGGGAAGTTGTGCTGGTTTAGTTAGAGATGAAATTTCACATGTTCAGAAGGAATGCCTTGTATGGACCGGGCCTTTACACAGAGAGCCTAGGTAGCCACTAAGGCAAAACAAGTTTCAGCACTGTCTCTGAGTCCTCCCGGGTCCCATGGGAGAGAGAAAGCTGCATCACCGCAGAGGGCAATTAGGGTCTCAGGTTCACATCATTCTAGACCAGATGCCCGCATGCTGCAGTGGGGGAGCGGGTGTGTGTCCTTTCCCAGGGATCTGCAGGTTCCCGGAGAAACTGGGCCTTGCCCCATCTGGTGTGGGGTATCTTGGTGTTGCAACAGCAGTAACACAGACAGCAAGATGTCCTGTTGCCTCAGGCTGGCCACGAGAGGCCACTTGGGTCCTCTTTATCTCCAGGGCCAGTTGGGTGGAGTCTGGACTTTTCCTGGGAGTTGCCAGGCACACAGGGACTAGGTTACTGGGCACCAATAACTCCCCAGAAAACCCTATGAAAATAATGTATCTTTGAAAATTAATCATGCACTTACATGTCAAACATGGTATGTGCACTTAAGTTCAAATCCTGCATCATAATCTAGGTGTATTATTTTGCTTTATATTTAAGGCCCATAGACTTCAACTAAGGAGACAAATTGGTGAGCAAAGAAAGCAATTCTTGCAGTCTTTAGGGGATTTGGTTCCCCCAGAAAGAATTGTCTTAGAAATATTTAGCAAGAGGGAGACTAAGTACAATAATATTCCCAGTCAGGCTATAGATCACCACCTTGTGCAGAATTTTCCCTGTCTCGTTAGTGATCCTACCACTGATCCTTCTGCTGGAAGAATTACCTAGCGAGGTCTCTTTGCTGTAGTGAGTAGTCTTGTGGGAAAGACTAGAAGAAATAGGATGTAGAAACACTAAATTAGGTGTATGAGCTATTGGATACTTCTCATCTGTGTCTTTGGTAGCCACAATAGCTAGCTAGCAAGCTGCCCTTTTATTTCATTATATCATTACATGATTTTAGTTATTTATGTTGTCTTCACTTTGGTAGTCTGTCTTTAGCCCTATAGGATAAACGTATTCAGTTGACCTACATAGTAGCTTAAGGCACTTTATGTTAGAACATTCCATTTTAGGCTGAAGCAGGGGGGAAGAATTAGGGCAGAATTGATTGTTGAAGGGCCTTTTGCAATTCCCACTTTCCTGAAACAGAATATCCTTCTTCCTTGGCTATCATTAACCTTTATTTCGAACAGAGTAAATTACTGGACTCAAAATTTATGTTATTCACTAACGTTGACTGGTAAACAGCTTGTCTTTTCACCAAATATCATTATTCAAAGTGTGAAAACAGTGCCCTAGAACAATTTCGCATTCTTATTGATGGCCTCTCACTCACCTAAAGTCCTTTGTTGGGTTTTATCGTGTAACACATTGTGGTTACCCTGCTCGACTTTTACAGAGATGTGATTCACCAATTGCTAGAAGCTTCTTGCCAGTTTTGCTGAGGATCAGATACATAGATTAGATTATGATTGTTGTTGCTTTTTTTTCTTTTATACTTAGAAAAGACCTATTCTTCAGAGAGTCTTAAGTGTTCCACAGAATCAATTTTTTGCATTCTCCTGGTTCTGGCCTTTTAAATTATGATTTTTATACCTTCTTTAGAGCTGGGGTGGAGGAAGGAGAGGGTTCACATTTGACAATCTGGCATTCAGAGCTTTGCTGCCCTCCTCTGAGGCAGAAATGGAGTGGGTCAGGGCGCAGAAGAGAGCCAGGCTCAGCATGTGGCTGGAGGGGCAGGAAGTTGGTCCTGGGAATGAGAGTTAATGAACTTCTCTACCCACCTGGCCTCCTGGCACATTTGGCAGACTCCTGCATTAAATACCCCAGCACTCAGAAATGATCAGGGCATCTCCAGAAGCCCTACTATTGATCTGAACAAGTGAAGTGTACACCTATGGAAGAGGTAATTATGGACTAAAAGTCTGTTCTTACTGAGAGCGAGAGAGAAGGTATCATCTGGCTCTAGCATATTCCTCATCTTCAGAAGCATGTCAGGATAGTTAATACTGTTTCCAAATGAGAAAAACAAAGAATGGGTGAGGAGTGACAGATATGTAGGACCCAGGCTGGTCTTAGAAGCTGCCAGGTTTGAAATAATCTGGAGAGAAAAGACAAGGCAAGGAGAAAAATGAGGACTGTGCTTATGATACAAGTCTCCTCCCTGACTTCCTCCTTATAAATGCAAGGATCACGCCACAGGGAAGGACTCTAGGGCCTATGCAGATGGTAGGCTCTTTGGATCTTGTGATTCAGCTGACACCTTTAGAGGAGGGAGAGTGAAATAAAGTTTAAGGCATGTCTTTCTGGTCCTGGGAGCCCCAACATTTTGCATGTTGTCAACTCAGTCCTAAACAAAGTCTGAATTAGAATTCTTGAGGCCTTCGTTTCAAATCTTCTAAATAGAGACAAATGTATTTGGAAAAATAAATTAATTAATTTTAAAAAATAAATAAATCTTTTTTAAAAAAGTCTTCTAAATAGAACCAGGATTCTGAATATTCTGAATCATAATAATGCCTGCAATTCAGACCCATGGAGCTAGGGCCTGCCTGTCAGTTTACTTATTTGGGAACAGAAAGGACTTCTGGAACTTTTGTAAGATCCAATATTTGTTCAGGATTAAAAATTTCTTATTTTTATCCTGCAGCTATGACCACTGTTAATAAGAAAGTGTGTAGTACTCCAAATGTACCATGTGGCATTTTGGATGGGCAGGTCTCTTATTAGTAGCTTTGGCTCCAAGGGACAAAAAACGAGCTCCAAATAGCCCAAAACAAAGTTGAAAAATAAGTAACTTTCTTTTAGCTCACCCACCTCTTTTTATCAATATCCATCTTTTCTCTTGTGAGTAATTACTAGTCTTCATCTTAGCTGCCATTCAGTGAGCATTACCATACAGAAGCAGTAGGCTATTTATGTGCCCCATATGAGCTCCGTGAGTTCTGTTGTTTTCCTCATTTCCTGTGTGAGGGAAGATGATGCTGAGGGTTACAGGGTGAAGTAACCCACTGGCGGTCTCAGAGCCAAGTGAAATGCGTCTCTTCCTTGGCTTACCTTTCTCATCCCTGCTATGGCAGCCCTTCACCAGTCAGATAAGCCAATGCTTACTCTCAGCCAAGGTGTTCAGTGATTTTTAAGATCTTTATGTGACTGATGAACAGCTGGAAATGACTCCAAGCCCTTTGCCTTTGCTGCTATAAATGGTTATATTTTAAAATAAGACTCAAAGACAAGGCCCTGGCTGGGTAGTTCAGTTGACTAGAATGTCGTCCTGATACGCCAAGGTTGTGGGTGTGATCCCTGGTTAGGGCACGTACAAGAAGTAACCAATGAATGTGTAAATAAATGGAATAGCAAATCAATGTTTCTCTTTCTCTCTCCTTTCCCCTCTCTCTAAAATTAATTTTAAAAAAAGACTCAAGGGAAAAAAGCCATGGATAACGGGACAGTGGAGTACGGTTATTCCTAAGGCAGGAGCTACTAAAGATTCCTCAAATCGCCATAGAAGTTAGCAGCTCTAGGCAGAGCATCCCACAGCACAGCTCCAGACACATCACAGACTATTGTTATCTGGTTAAAACCCAGATAATGTTCTCATTACATGTAAGCAGAGCACAGGAAAGCTGCTTTTGTTCATGGAGTGTCTCCTATGGACAAAACATCAGCTTTATCCACCAACTCTGTATAAAGTAGCTGTAAATTCTAATGTCCACTGTTCCTAGGTCAGGATTTTGTTTTAGGTTTTATATAACACTTGGATTTATACTTTAAGAAAAATGAGCACATGTCCTCTATTTCATGGAAAACTATGGATGGTTTTAATTTGTCCATGCTTATAATTAACCAGATATAAAGGTGAGCTTGTCATGTTATTTTTCACCAAAACGTCTTTTTAATGTTTTTGTCTTGTTTGTCCTTGCTCATAATTTTAGTACAAACATACTTTTGGATGATCAGTTTCAACCCAAACTGACTGACTTTGCCATGGCACACTTCCGGCCCCACCTGGAGCATCAGAGCTCTGCCACAAGCATGACCAGCAGCGGCGGCAAACACCTGTGGTACATGCCAGAGGAGTATATCCGACAGGGCAGACTCTCCACTAAAACAGATGTCTACAGCTTTGGAATCGTGAGTACCGGGGAGGCTCTAAATTGAGTAGTACCCCTGAAATCTGCGTGGTTTTATTAACCAATGCCACCCTGATAAATTCCATATTTTTAAAAGGCTTAAACTTCTAGGTCTATGGGCTCCTGTTATTTGTCTTATACATTAATTTTGTGTAATCAATCAACAATAAAATATAAATTTATTAATTGGAATGAACTATGTTCATTGTTAAGGTTAATAGTCACAATTAATTGTGCATATATATTTAACTTTCTATATATTTTTTGTAGGTAATAATGGAAGTTCTGACAGGTTGTAAAGTCGTATTAGATGATCCAAAGCATATTCAGCTGGTAAGAATCACCTTCCTCTCTGCACCTTGGTCATCTTCCTGATAGAGTTCTAAATGAGGTTCTCCTCTTCTTCTCTTCTTCTTGTCTTCTTCTCTTCCTAGAGAGACCTCCTTATGGAGTTGATGGAAAAGAGAGGACTCGAATCATGCCTCTCACTTCTAGACAAGAAAGTGCTTCCCTGTCCTCGGAATTTTTCTGCCAAGCTCTTCTCTCTGGCAGGCCAGTGCACTGCAACGCGGGCAAAACTAAGACCATCAATGAATGAGGTATGTATACACACAGTTTTATTAAAAACTAAGCCCACAGAACCATGGAAAATCTAAATGCGATAAATTACGTATCTAAGTGAACTCTTTATTAATGAGACAAATCTAGCACTGGAAGAGAATTCTAATTGAATACGTAGTTTTTCCAGTCTACAGCCATACCACCCTGAAGGCGCCCGATCTGGTCGGAATACATAGCTTTTCCAGGACAAAAAGTCACATCACTTTGTACTCTGGTAGAGCTCATTATTGGGTAGAACCAGGGACCTGCAAAAATGTTAATAAAGAGATACAGTATTTTGGAGAGAATATTTTATCTAAACTTTTTTAAGAGATCTGCCCATTAAAAATGCAGTATGTATTTTTCTTATTGGTTTTTTATTTATTCACCTGCCCGATCGATTTAATCATCCATTCATTTAGTATTTGTTTATAATAAACAGATATTTATTTAGTGCCTAATTTGCATGTGCCAGACTGTGCTGGGTGCTGGGGATAGAACAGGGATCGAGCTACAGTTGCTGCCCTCAAGCCCACAGCCCATCAGTAAGCATGGACTTTCAGTGCAGAAAGATAAGCATAATGGTGGGTGGGAGCACAGAGTTAGAATACAGTCTAGCAGATGGAAGTCAAGGAAGCTTCTTCATGGAGGTGACAGCTGAGCTATGACCTGAAAAATAAGGTGGGTTTAGGTAGCTTTTGGATGGAAGAACTTCCCAGGCAGAAAGAATAGACACCTGCAAAGGCTCAGAGCGGATGAACTTCACATTGCTAAGACCACAAGTAGTTCTGTATCATGGAAGTGGGATGGTGGTGAAGGAAAAGCTGCAGTGGTTACAATAAAAGATTCCAGGTGGTAAAGGGACATGACTTCCATCCTAGGAATTTGAGTTTTATCCTGAGTCTATATGTAGAGTAATGGAAGGGTTTTAATCAAGGAGTTGACATCATCAGAATATAAAAAACACTGGGCTAAGAATCAGGAGAGCTGTATTCTAAGCCTGCCACCGGCAGTAAGAGTTGTGGGACCTGGACTCTTGGGCCCGGAATGGAGCTGTGAGGTACACAGCAGAGGGAACATGGAACTGGGAGCCAGAGATCTGGGTCAAGTAACAACAGGTCTACTCCTTACCAACTAGTGATATTGATTGATTTCCTTTTTAGAGACTCAGTTTTGTTGTCTATAAAGTAAGAATAATAGTGTTCTTTGTATAGATTAATGGGGTGATGTGTGTAAAGCACTATGTAAATTGTAAAGCCATTGATCTGTATTCTTTTAAATTACAAGTGTGTGAGAAGGTATGTTGTATGTTATTTTATATCAGGTCAATGATTCTCGATTTGAGCTGCATACCCTAATAAACTGAGAAGCATTAAAAATACAGATTCCTGGTCCACCATCTCTATAGTTTTGAATGACAGCCTTTGGGGTGGGGATAAGGGATCTGCATTTTAAGAATGCTCCTCTATGTAAATCTGGCATTTGAGAACTATGGATTAGATTTATAGTACCTGTAACCCTTCCAATTCTCCACATATTACGGTTGAAGTGAAAAATGATAAATTCACCCAAGGTTGCAAAGTAGGGGTGGCAAATCTAGGCCTTAGGTCAAGTCTCTTGATATTCAATACAATGTAATTTGGGGTTTTTTTTAATGCTTTACTTCAAGTCACTTAAATTACTCATTAAAGTGAAGGATTTAGCTAGTCTCTAATACCTCCTTAATCAAAATTCTATAGTAGAAATGACTTCATGAAAAGAAGAGTACATTCCTTAATAGGGAGACAGAAAAAAAAAAAGGAAAGGTTATTCAAGTTTAACTCACTGTTTGCTTTTTGGTTAATTAGGTTCTAACTACTCTTGAAAGTACTCAAGTCAGCTTACATTTCGCTGAAGATCCTCCCATGTCACTCAAGTCCTTCAGGTGTCCTTCTCCTCTGTTCTTGGACAATGTACCAAGTATTCCAGTGGAAGATGATGAAAGACAGAGTAATTATTCACTGCTTCATGACAAGCACTTGAGAGAAGTGAGAATGACTCAGAAAATTCCCTTTGAATGCAGCCAGTCTGAGGTTACATTTCTGGGCTTTGAGAGAAAGGCAGGGAGTAAAAGAAATGAGGACACTTGCAATGAGCCCAGTTCTTCTCATGAATTTTGGTCTCCAGAGCATGCAGCTCCATCTCAGGACTCAAGGGCCTCTGGCATGAACGTGGACCCTTCTGGAGAAGCTCCAGGCCATTCTTGCAGGTGCAGGCCTATGGAGATTAGCTGTTCCCCTGAATCCTACTGGAATGAATGTGAACAGCACAAAAAGGAACCCATTTTACCAGAAGATAAAGAAGAGGGCAAGGATTACTGAGGCGTGTGAGTACAGGTACCATCTGGGAAAGATGCTGCCTTCATAAGTAATGCCGAGAGGATGACATTGGTAATGCAGATAAACAGCCTGGACGGTCCCATTCTTTACTTTCCAACTTGCAAAACAGAGTGACTTAAAAATGTGTTTTATCAGGTAATTGGCTCATGAGCAAACCTAGGCTAAATTAGAGTCATTCAAGATTAATTGAGATAATGGGCTCTGACTGCAGACCAACAAAACAACCAGAACCTACCAAAAAGAGACTGAATTCTGACGTTTTCTTCATCAATATGAGCCCTCAGAGCCTTCAGTCCACTAAGTATGTTCCATTCAGTAGGATTCCATTGTTTAGTTTTGTTTGCTTATAAAGGTTGTAGGAAGTGCCTAATTTATAAATATTAATAGATGCCCTTTAAAGAATTGTCTTTTCATTTACTTTTATTGACTCTTATTATTTTTTTCTGTCCATCCCTATCAAACCTGCATGTCTGAAAATGAGCCAGATTCACCCTTGGCTATGACATGTTCTGTGCAGAGAGGGGACTCTTGCCCAAGATTTGTATTCTGTATTTAAACTCTTGGGGTAGTTTATCACATATAATATAGTTGTTTACTGTTATTAGAAGTTCTTTTTTAAAAAAAACAAAACAAACTTAGAGACCTATTATATCCTTAGTAGAATGTTTGAAATTTTAATCAAGTAATTTTTGTTTCTGAGAAAGTGGCTGGTCACAAGAGCTGAGGTCAGCTTTTTGTTACATTCTGTAGCTTCCAACTCTGTGCCTTTAGTCCTGCTGTTTCCTGGATCTCGCCCTTTTGAAATCTTACCTAATGCTTCAGGGCCCAGCAGAACTGCCATCCTTCCAGTGGCCTCCCTAACCTCTCCAGCCAGAAGTACTTTATCAGCATTTTCATAGCAATATTTATAGTTCTATTTTATACCAAATTATATCAAAGTTGCTTGTGCCATCTTTCTCTTTGACTAGGCTTATAAACTCCCTGTATTAGTTTTATATTATTGCTGAAATCAATCATCACAAACTTAGTGGGTTAAAAAAATTAATTATTTTGCAGTTCTGGAAATCAGAATTCCTTGGCATTCCTTCTGGAGGTTATAGGAGGAGATTCACTTTCTTACCTCTTCAAGCTTCTAGAGGCCACCTGCCTCCCTTGGATCATGGCCTCTTCCTCCGTCCTCAAAGCCAGCAACATGGCATCTTTGAATCTAGATCCCCCTCTTTTTCTCTGACTTCTTCTTTATCACCTTTCTCATACGTTGGCCCTCCTGCCTCTCTCTTATAAGGATAAGTGATTGCATTGGGCCCACGCAGGTAACCCAGGAAAATCTCTGCATCTCAAGATCCTTAATATAATCACATCTGCAAATGTCCCTTTTCTTTTGTAAAGTAATAAATTCACAGGTTTCTGGGATTAGGATATGGACATCATTGGGGGGCCATAACTCTATCACATTTCCTGAGTGTGTAGGGGCCACCTCTTTAAGGCCTAACATGTTATCCTATACAGAGCAAGTGCTTCCTTATAAGTTGAATTGAAGTATCTCCATGAACCCACATAATCAAAAATTCAGCGATAGTAAACATTGCTGAGTAAGTTAACAAAGTGGGGATAATGATTGTCTTAATCATGGTGGGTTGAAATACTTCAAGAAAACCGTTTCCAGAGGATTTACAGAATCTCCCCCTTCAGGGCATTTACAATAAAAGGATGCAGCTTTCTGTGCATCAGAATAGGCACGTGTGTGTGTGTGTGTGTGTGTGTGTGTGTGTGTACAGTTGGGTTAATCATAGTCAGATTGGAGTCTATATTCAAGAAAAACTAATGAAAAAAAGAAGTTATTAGGAATTAGGGTCAGGTTAGAAGACCAAGGTTAGAAACATGGAACTATGTACAATTCTGGGAGGAAAGCGATCTCATGGCAGAAAGTAAGGTTCAAAACACAGTAAGCCTTAGTTTGACTGACAGGCCCCCAAAAAGCTGCAGGTAAGCAATTAGGAGAGGCCATGTTCACAGGTGGGTCTGCAGGGACCTGGCTGTCAAGTGCTGTCTTCCTCATCTGAGCATGATGTGTGTCTTCATGGTGCTCCCAAATGGCCTGTGTGCTAAGATTAGTAGGGAAGAGGCTTAGACTTGACTTCATAGGATTTTAATTCTTGTGACCTGTCCTAGTTGGCAACTCTTGGCTATCCATGTTAATGAAAGGAAACAGTAAAAGTCTTTGGCATTTGGCTTTATATATCACTAACCATTCTGAGGCTGATTTAGCTTGTTTTATAGATGCTGTCTGAAAGGACCTTCAGTGAGAGGTCACTAAGGAAGCTCTGATTAACACCAGGCCCACACCATCACTCAGCACATATGTAATCTGTTGATTTTATGTTGATTTGAATTTGCTTATTTGACTTAAAGCAGTGTTCTTTAAACTTTAATGTGCATCAGAATGAAGTGGAAGGCTTGCCAAAAGTGCAGATTGCTGGTCTCACCCAGTTTCTGAGGTAGTAGTTCTGGGGTTAGAAATTGGGCTTTCTAACAAGTTCCCAGGTGATGCTGGAGCCACTCTGAGAACCACTGCCCTAAAGTGTTCTCAGATTTTTCTAGATCAGTAGATGCTACCTTTCTAACTAGGCTGTATGTTTTTTGAAAGAAGTGTCATTTCTTTATATTCCAGCAATGTTGTTAATCTATGATCTCCTTGACTAGATCACCTCACTTGGGGGTGAGTATTTTGGACATCTAAAGGACCAAGTCGGATTAGCTGGCAATAACCTGACTAATGATATCGTAAGCAGATGCCGCTGTGGCTTGGAATTACCAATTTTCTGCTGAGTGATCCAGTCCTCCTGACTATTTGCTTTGCAGTGGGTGCATCAGTAAATGTTGGTTATAGTAATTGAATCTGGCATTCTGCAATGGGCAACAAGGGATACCTCGTAGCTTCATGATGTGCAGAGTAAGAAACGAAGAATGAGCTTCCAGTAAGTGTTCCCTCTGATCAGCAAACATGAATTAGTCAAGAATTCCACTCATCTGCATCCTAATAATGCACCGTGAGCAATCCTCTAGGGAGGCTCTATTTACTTGTTAGTTTTCTTCACATTTTATGATGCCCCAAAATATTTCATTGTTTTTGAAAATAGGTATGAGATCTGACATAATCAATTTTATTGACCTCTTGAGAATTGTTATAGTGACCTGTGACTTACTGCATAATAGTAGTTTTATACAGTGGTACATCAGCCTGTGTAAAACAACTTTTGTGACCTGACTGTGGCCAGTACCGGAAGTAAGGGCCATCCTGAGTAGCATTTACTAAGCATCTGCCAGAGTCGAGGCACTATATCAACTACTAGGATACCAAGTAAAGAAGAAAAGGGATTGACTCCAATAAATAGTTGGGTGGCATCTATTATTGAACCACCAACCAATAGAACTGAAAGTAATGGCTGGAAGGGAGAGGAGGATACAAAGATTACTATGCACTTTCGAGAGGGTAAAGAAGGCTTCTTGGAGAAGCTTGCTGGAAGATAGAATGGAATAAGAGGAATAGAAGAGTACCCAAGAGGTGTTCCAGGAAGGCTCTCTGGAGAATTGGGGGCCCACAGCTCTACCAGAGCTCTGCACAACACCACCTGGGGGGTGGGAAGAATGGGGGAGAGCAAAAGGAACCGTGTCCAGAGCTCTGCATGTTTTTTTCTGTTAACCATCACAAGTACCCTGAAAGTATGAATCCCATTTTATAGATGAAGAAAATGACTCAGAGAGATTAAGGAACTTGCCTGAAGTCCTCCCAGATCTGGAAGAGACAAGATTTGAACCCACATCTGCCTGACTTCAAAGCCCAATGTTCTTTTCCTATGAAAAGGCATGAATGTGAAGAGTCATTTGCTAATTCCATAAACTTTCAGTAAGCACACAAGCCTTGCCACATTTTCTGCCTTTATCACTATGCTGCTCATCTGCCACAGTTTCCTGCCAACACAGTCGTTTGATGTAAATAACATGAATTCATCCGTCCACTCACTCATTGAATAAGTATTTACCAACAGCCTCCTTTGCATCAGGTACTGTTCTAGGAGCTAGGGAGATGATGAAGATCAAACCCCACAAAACACCCTGCCCTCATGGAATGTACACTTGACTGAATGAATGAATGAGTGGGTGAATAGGAAACACTGGGAGAGTTGTAATTGCGGTTCTCGCACTAACTGGCAGCTCTCCACAGGCTGCCATCTCAGGGTGCTGTCTGTACGCACATCCTGGCTCTTCTGCCAGCTCTTGTGTAGGAGTTCTAAGAGGTCTTGTCCTTGTCCTATGCAGTAGCTGATATCTCCGTGGCAGCCCATTGCTTTGCAATTACTGTGCATAAAGCAGTCTATGACATGCTTTGTGGCAAATATGACAGATCCTATTCTTTCATTGACCAATGATTTTTTTCAGAGCATGTACTTGCTACTGATGGCGTCTTCAGCAGGCTTCTTCTAGGTCATCTGAAACACCTATATATACCTCACCTCGCTATCACTCCATAATGGAATTGCGGTTGACTTCCTTCCTGTCCTCAACAAAATTGAAGTTTCCCTGGGGACATAGGCTATATACCCTGCTCATTTTTTCATCCCTAACAGCTAGTACAGAGCTTGGCATATAATATGACCCAATAATATTGGTAAAATTAATGAGTCAAATAGTCCTTTAAAGCATCTTCAAAATCATTGGTATCTAGTGTATCAATACTAACATCTTATTGTGCCCAAATTTTGTCTTCCTGATACCCATGATATCATCAATCATTGGCTTAAATAATTCCACCTCACCATTCTTGGATAAAAATTTTGGTTTCAAATATTAATATATGAGATATATTTAATGAGAGGAATTAGACATTGTATACATTGCTTGTAAATTTGTTTCATGATAAGAAATATTCCCAAATCATGTCTGAGCAATGATAAACCAACATTTTGACAGGTAATAAACCAATGTTTGTTATATTTTGTTTCCATCTATCCCTCCCAAATTATAGATATTTGATGGTTCATTGGACTTGACATGCAAGTATTTTCTTGGGAAGCATTTTTATTTCAGAAGATCAACATTACCTACCAAACCTTCACATAAGAGCCTCCTAATTGATGTCATCCGCCTCATTGCAAACTTTGTGGTCATCTATATAAACAGCAATATTTTTATAAATATTTTCAGTTTTTCATTTGCTTCTTAACTTTAAAATTTTCTTACAGATCAACATTAATCGGAATGGGGGGGTAAGAAGGTAGAAATAACTTATTTGCAATAGTATGCAGGTGCAAGTGCATATTTATTGAGCTAGTTTCTATTACCATA